GATTGTGCCATTGCACTCCAGCCTGGGTGACAGAGCAAGATTCCATGTCAAAAAAAAGAAGAAATACTGAAGGATTTCCCTTATAAATGAGGTACTTATTGTAATCAAATTCATAGAGACAGAAAGGAGAATGGTGATTGCTAAGGGCCAGGAGAGGGGGAAATGGCGAGTTAGTGGGTAAAGTGTTTCAGTTTGGGAAGATGAGAAAGTTCGAGAGAGTGAAAGGTGGTGATGGTTACACAACAGTGTGAATGTACTTAATGCCACAGAATGGTATGCTTAAAATGGTTTCAGTTGTAAATTTTTTGTTGTGTATATTTTAATACAATAAAAATATTAAAAGATTACATATGTGGATTACTATCTGAAACATAGTTTAATGGTCCAATAAATATTAATTCCCTTCAAAAAAAAAAAAGGAAAGCAGTGTTGACAAGAATGTGGAGAAATTGGAACCCTCTTTTTGTTTTTGTTTTTTTGTTTTGTTTTGTTTTTTGATACAGAGTTTCGTTCTTGTTGCCCAGGCTGGAGTGCAGTGGCGTGATCTCGGCTCGCCACAACCTCTGCCTCCCGGGTTCAAGTGATTCTCCTGCCTCAGCCTTTTAAGTAGCTGGAATTACAGGTGCTCGCCACTGATGCCTGGCTAATTTTTGTATTTTTTAGTAGAGACAGGGTTTCACCATGTTGGCCAGGCTAGTCTTGAACTCCTGACCTCAGGTGATCCACCTGCCTTAGCCTCCCAAAGTGCTGGGATTACAGGCATGAGCCACCGCACCCAGGCCTGGAACACTGTTGGTGGGAATGTAAAATGGTGTAGCCACTTTGAAAAAGAGTTTGGCAGTTCCTCAAAGAGTTAAATATAAAGTTACCTTGTGACACAACATTTTTACTTCTAGTTAGGTACCCAAGAGAACTGAAAGCATAGTCATGTGTTGCTTAATGATGGTGACACATTCTGAGAAATGCATTGCTAGGCGATTTCAATGCTGTGTGAACATGAGAGAGTGTACTTACACCCCTAGATGGGATTGCCTGCTACATGCCTGGGCTAGAGGGTATAACCTGTTGCTCCCTAGGTTTGCACACCTGTACAGCATGTTACTGTTATGAATACTGTAGGCTGTTGTAGCACAATGGTATTTGTTACAATAAACATATCTAAAAATAGAAAAGGTGCAGTAAAGATTTGATGCAAAAGATTTAAAAAATGGTATGGTTTGCCTGGATAGGGCACTTAACCATGAATGGAGCTTGGAGAACTGGAAATTGCTCTCGGTGAGTCAGTGAGTGAGTAGTGAGTGAATGTGAAGGCCTTGGACATTACTATACACTGCTGTAGACTTCATAAACATTGTACACTCAGGCTACACTACATTTGCTTAAAAATGTTTTTTCAGTAATAAACCTAGTGAACTCTATTTTTACTTTATAAACTTTTTAATCTTTTCAACTTTTCAGCTTTTTTGTAATAACAGAGCTTAAAACACAAACACAACTGTACAAAATATTTTTTCTTCATACCTTTATTTTCTAGGTTTTTTGTTTTTTTAATATTTAATATTTGTTTTATTTTTTTAAACATTTTTGTTAAAAGCTAAGACACAAACACACTCATTAGCCTAGGCCTACTTAGGGTGAGAATCATCAATATCACTGTCTTCCACCTCCGCAGCTTGTCCCACTGGAAGGTCTTCAGGGGGCATAACACCCATGGAGCTGTCACCTCCTATCACAACAATGCCTTCTTCTGGATACCTCCTGCGGGACATCCATGAGGCTATTTTACAGTTAACATTTTAAAAATATATATAAAAAGAAGGAGTACACTCTAAAATGCTGATTTTAAAAGTATAGTATAGTAAATACATAAACCAGTAACATGGTCATTTAGTATCATTATCAAGTAACATTATTGCAGGTGCTATACTTTTATATGACTGGCAGCACAATAGGTTTGTTTTCACCAGGATCACCACAGATAGGTGAGTAATGCATTGTGCTAGAACAGCCACGCCCTTTCAGCTGCATTATACTCTTATGGTGCCACAGTTGACTGAAGCATCGTTAGGTGGAGCATGACAGTATTCACACAAAAACTCATACATATCTCTTCATAACAACGTTATTCATAATGGCCAAAAAAATGGAAGTAACCTCAATGTCCATCAGTGATGAATGGATAAACAAAATGTGGTATATATATGCATTGACTTATTTAGCCATTTAGGAATGAAGTACAGGCTACAAAATGGTTGAACCTTGGAAACTTATGCTAAGAGAAAAAAGCCACACACAAAAGGCCACGTGTTGTATGATTACACTTATATGAAGTGTCAGGAATAAGAGGTAATTCATAGAGAAAGATAATAGATTAGTGTTTTCCAAGGATGAGGGAAGTGGGAGTTGGGGATATAGAGTTTCATTTTGGGATGATGGAAATGTTCTGGAAATAGATAATAGTGATGATGCACAACATTGTGAGTAACTAATAACCAGTGAATTACATACTCTAAAATGTTTAAAGTGGTGAATTTTGTGTTATGTGAATTTTACCTCAATACAAAATTTTAAAAATCAATAAATGATCCCAAAACCAAAGACATTACAAGAAAGAAAACTGCAGACCAATATGTCTCCTTTAAAAAAAAAAAAAAAAGCAAATTGACCCCAACCATATATAAAAAGAATTACACAGCATGACCTAGTGGGATTTATTCCAGATAGGCAAAGCAGGTTCAGCATTCAAAAATCAATGTAATCCATTATGTCAACAGGTTAAAGAAGAAAAATCATATTGTTAATTTAATGTGGCAAAGCATTTGGTAAAATCCAGTTCATTATAAAATATTCTCAGCAAACTTGGACTAGAGGGGAGCTTCTTCAATAAAGAAATATCTACAGAAACCCTGCAGCTAACATCGTCCTTAATGGTGATAAAAGAGATGCTTTCCCTCTAAGATCAGGATCAAGGCAAGGAAGAGGTCCCTCTCACCACTCCTATTCAAACCCACGTTTTTTCTTAGGAGTTTCTGAAGCTTAGTGATAAGTTATCTATCTTTGAATTTTTTTTCAATAGAAGAATCTTTTTCACCTTAAACAAAAGTATGTGATCTGAGTTTTGGGGTTTTTTTGTTCGTTTTTGTTTTCTGGTAATCATAGGTAGCCTGACACTGAGAGAGAGGACCAACTTTGACATCAGGGAGAACAGGATTTTTATTCTATCTTTGTCATTCGTTGGTTTTGTAGCTTTGAGCAAGCCACTTAACATTTCTAGCCTCTGCCTTCTCTGGCACAGGAAGGCCGCTCAGAGGGCTAAAGCCCCTTATCATCTAGGGCTGCTGTCATCCCCTTGGACTCGAATCTGATAGATAGAAGGCTAAAGGCCCCCTCAGTGAAAAGAGGGGTGAGGTGCTAGGGGCCACTTTCTGCTTGAAATAGACTTGAGTATACTTGAACTCATTAGAGAGTTCACTTTTTATTCCCTCACTGATAGAACTTGAATTGAACATTTGATGATAGAGACATAAAAAGATCTTCACGAGTTTCTCCAAGAAGACGCATCTTTTCGTTAAAGCCTGTGTTTTGACCTTGATGGTGGCTGGTACTCCGAAAGCAGATGTGTGTTGTAGACACATCACAGTGTCACTGCTTCCCTACTCCCTTAGATTCTCCAGGCTTCAAACACCAGCTCTTAAAACATCAGGCATTTGTTGAATGACTGCCCTGTGGCTGTTCACTCTGGTTCTGACTGTATTGTATGGTAGCAATCCCAAAGGGCCATCTTGCTACGGTTGTATTTGTTGTAAAATGATGAAATCATCCACTTTGCAGGGTCATTACAATGATTAAGCTAGAGAATGTATTTAAGTGCCTGGCACTTGTTAGACATTCAAAAATTGGCAGATGATATTATTGTCAGTAGAGCCACATTTGTCCATCCATACTGTCTAACTCTGTGTTCATGATCAAAATGTGAAACCAGTGTCTTCTCTGTGACCTCACCACAGTCATGATGAGTGTGTTCATGCCCCGTCAGACTGCCAGCCCTTGGGAGCAGGGCCCGGTGAGGTCCAGGTTGCAGGATGCTAGTCTTTGTTCATTCCAGTCAGCTCTGTTCAGTGACTGCAGATGCCCTCCACCTTACTGCCTGGAATATATAATAAGGCAAAAATCCTTCCACCTGATTTCATTTGGTAACTGAGAAGCTCTAAGACCTCAGTCAAGCTACTCTACCTCATTGTGCCTCACTTTGCCCATGTGTAAAATAGGGAGATGGGTTAACTGATATGAATAGCCTCTTCTAATTCTGGAATTGTGTGATGTGGTAACTGTGATCATGTTACTCTTGTTTATTAACAACTCTAGAAAATTTACTCTTATTATCATTTGTACAAACACACACACACTTTGGCATAAGGGATACTTCACTTTCTTCTATATGGTTCTTAGGAATAATTCTGTCCTCCTTTCCATGCATTTAATTTCTGAAAGAAAGTGTTCATCTAGAACTTTTGTATGACTTTATAAGACAGACTTCATTAAAAGAATAACGGTATGCTCCAGTTTTTTTATAAGTGCACATAAACTGATGGTAGTGATATATATGAACATCGCTCCTAATGTGTTTTGTGGTCACACTGGATGTGGCTCTCTCCAGTCCAGCAGCCCTAGCTTGTCTGAGGAAGTGGCCCAGGCCCTTTGGTAACAGGAGCTATGTGTGGCAATAATCCTTGTGTTGGCACAAATGGGGCAGAGGGGGAACATTGGGAAGAGATGGATAGTTTTATTTTAATCACCAAAAACACTCAGACACACCGGTCTACAGGGGAATACCCCCACCCCCGACGAGAACCACTGTTCTACCTTGTCCTTAAAATGGTTCTGCCGTTCAGCTTATTCTGGGGTGGAGAGAAGAAGAGAATGGTGAATCTCTGTGGGCCGTGTTCTTCCAACCTCCTTAGGATGCTTTATAGGTTGTTTTCTTTTCTCTTGGTTTTCAGCGCATCAGAGCAGAGTGACGATGATCCTGTTTGTCCTGGAGCTGGAGTGGGTGCTGAGCACAGGACAGGACAAGCAATTTGCCTGGCACTGCTCTGAGAGTGGGCAGCGCCTGGGAGGTTATCGTACCAGTGCCGTGGCCTCAGGCCTGCAGTATCCTTTGCTGGACAAAAATCTCTTAGTAGGAACTTAACTCTGATTCATGAAATTTTGGGATGTGTGCAACTTGAAAGTTTTGTTAATGACTGAGTTGCCCAGTATAGATTACAATGCTCATAGAATTTCCTGAGGCACAAATCATCAAGAGTTCCCATGTAAGTAGAGTGAAGTGCGATCACTTGACCTGAAATAATAGACTGCTGAGCCATTTGTGAGTCTACCGTAACACAAGGTCTGACATCTAGACAGAACACAGTGCAGATTCATGAACCTCAGCTGTCAGAAATAATTATGGTACATGAAGATGAAATCATCACCAAAATGTAATCTTTGCTCTTCGTACAGAAGTAATTTACACATAGATACCAAGGTTGTGAACGTTCCTGTTGGTGCCTGGGAAAAGAACCACAGGATTCCTGTTCAGTTTTAAATAGTTATTGCCAGGTTACCAAGCTAGGACCAGAGTGGGTGAGCTGGTATCTACATGGTGATGTTAAAAGCTTTGTTCCAGGAATGAGACATTTTCAGGATATGTAGAGTGATATTTTTGTTTCCCAAATTGCCAGGGTCCTCATGCTCATGGTGAATCCTTGCTGATGCTGGGTAATGCTCACATCTGCCCAACTAGGCTCCAGCAAGCACAGTAATGACTAGTGTGTAGCACGTGTGGATGCGGCTACCACTGTAGGGAGTAAAGGACCCTGGGTTCTTAGTTTTAAAAGCATATGGTCTCTTTATCTTCTGACAAATTAAGAAGTAGGTAGAAACAGGCCACTAGTCAGGGAAAGCAGGAAGAAACAGTAAGTCCTGCTTTCTAATTTCATCTCCATATTTATAAAATGCCTATTCAGTGATTCTCAACATCTGACAAAGTACATTGCTGTTTCTGTGAAACTGTGTGGCATTCAAAGGTATATTTTTGTGTATATATAGGCTAATATCACTCTTTTTTTTCTCACTAGAAGAGCAAGGTGAAGAAACTAAGAATGACCATTGTGGAAAGTTGTAAAAGTAGCAAGTTGCTGAGAAGACCAAAGGCAAGGATGATAAGGAATGGCAGGCAGGATCAGCTCACCTTTGAGAGGGTGGTACTACCGGTTAATAAAAGAAACGCCAAACTTTACTTTCTAAAAGCCAATTCAGATGAGCGTAATACGTAAGTTGAAATACATGAACTCTCTTGCCAATACATAAATGACGTCTTAGTGTTAGAGCTGGAAGTACACTTAAAGATCACCTAGTCCAACCCTCTGTCTTCGTCCATTTGGGCTGCTATCATAAATTACTGTAAACTGGGTGTCCTTTAAACACCAGCAATTTATTGCTCACAATTCTGGAGGCTGGGAATTCTCAGATCAAGGCACCAGCAGGTTCAGTGTCTTGTGAGGGCGCTTGCTTCCTGCTTCATAGACAACATCTTGCTGTGTCCTCACATGGTGAAAGGGCAGAGGACCTTTCTGTGGCCTTTTTTTATAAGGGCACTAATCCCGTTCATGAGGATTCATCTCCAAACACCATCACATTGGGAATTAGGTTTTAACATATGAATTTTGGGGAGACATAATCATTCTGTCTTCCTTATCTCTTTCTCTCTGTTTCTCACACACACACACACACACACACACACACACACACACACACTGTAACTGGGTAGTGATGGATGTGTTAATCAATTTGACCATGATTATTACACAGTGTATATGTATATCACATCATCACATTCAACATTTTGAATATATACAATCTTTGTCAATTAAATACTTTTTTAGAATTCAGTCTATACTACCTTCATTTTACAGATGAGCTGGCTGAAGCCCAGAAAGAGTCCTGTGTTTTATCTGAGGCCACCCAGCTAGTAAGTAGGAAAATCCTCACAAGAACCCAGACCTTCTGCCTTGGACTCCTATTTTTTTCCCATTGTACTGCATTGCTCCTTCAAAAAGGAACTAATGGCATCAATATAATTTGGTCTTATTCTGGTTTCTGTATCACTTAGCCAAGCCCAGCAAGTATGGAAAAAAATACAGATCTTGCCCTCAGGAAGCTAACTTTTTAAACTATTTGAAAATAAAAAACAAATGGATAGTGTCCAACTTTCCCTGACTGATGTAGTCTTTGATGTAGGATTGTAACCACCACAGCTTCTCCCTTCGGGCATCTCCAGGAGTCATCCTCATTTGGTGACTATTCCCTTTTCCCACATCATGTGGTTTACCAAGCAGAAAGTCGTGTGATTGGGTATGAGAAGCCTGTGTGTGTGAGAGTCTCTGGTTTCAGTTCCATCCAGCCAGCCTCACTGTTCAGGTGGTGGAGAGGTGCAATAGTACAGACAGGCCCTCCCAGAAGATTCCCTGACCTCTGCCAGCTCTGCCTTGCCAACTATGATTTTGGAGCCATGGTTTCAACCTTTGCTCTTGAGTATTTTTCCATTGCTAAACACTGATGGCATGACAGCTCTGTGCTTTTGCCAGAGGGTCTCAGCCAATAACCATGTGACTTTTCTAAGGCTGGAAGTTTTTTCTGGGAGCTGGCTGATAGATTAATAGGCAAGCCATACAGTATTAGGGGTTCACATTTAAATTTAGCTTTTAAAAACATTTCCTTCTGAGAACCTCCCACCGCCTCCCCTCTCTTCCTTCTTTTTGTCACCCTCCACACTTACAGGGGTTTTGGTTTCATCATTGTTTGTTTTAGTGATGAAGGGAGGAGGAAGATCTGATGAATCAACATAAAATATTATGAATAATATCATTAATCCTATTTATCTTCATAGTAGACAGCTAATGGTTGATAAGAGACCTCCACAGATGAACTCATTCTCTTCTATCACCACCTCAAACAGTCATTCAGCCAAGGCAACAAGTGACAGACTAAATCAGATCAGCCTTTATTCCTCTTCTTTCAGGCATCTTAGTGGAGAAGTAAATATGCAATGAAAATGACCAAAATTCAAGTAGAAAAATAAAGGAAGACAAAGAGACTGGTTCATAAATTGAATTGTCAATTTATGAGTAACCTCAAATTTTTTGATTGTTTTGACTGAAGATCTGAAACTTCAAATATAAATTACCTGTAATAGGAACAACAAGAATGACAATAATAATAGAGAAGGAAAGGAAAGGAAAAGGATAAAGAAAGAAATATCTTAGATTTGCAGGCCCTGAAAATATCTTAGATTTGCAGGCTTTTACATATTACTTTGTTCACTGTCAAAACAATAATGTGAAGTAAAAACAAAAGACCTAATTCTCAGTTTTCACAGTGTAGAAACCAAGGCTCAGGGAGTAGGTGACTTGCTCAAGGTCACGTGACTATTGGCTAGCAGAACCAGGATTAGAATTTGGGGATTATAATTTTTCAGCCAGCCCTCTGCACAACTGGGTACAGCAGAATAGGGTTACTTCCCAAACGCCCCATGGAAGGTAGATGATAGTAAATAGAAATGTGTTCCTTCCCCACTTCACTTGTTAGTCTTTAAATTTGTGAATACTTTATCCAACGTCATTTGTCAGTGTCTTGTTATTTGACCATGTTTTTATCATATTTTTCATGTTTTCACAAAAATAATTCAAATACTCTATTTTAGGATTTTGTTCATGTCAGAGATATTTCCAAAATGTCACCATGTGTAGTGGAATGTTTCCCACCTAATGTAATCTCTTAGATTTATTTCTGTTCAGGTGAAGAGTTCTGAAAAGCTGTTAAGATTATGTCAATTTCTTCCTATCATACTTAATGCCAGTCATTCACATCCACTGTTGGTTCTTCTATCCCTTTTTGCTTTCTCTCAATTTTTGCTGGAGTATTTTAAAGCAAATTCTAGACCTTATATCATTTTATCCTTATATACTTCATTGAAAATATATGGGTTACTTTTTCAGTAATCACAATGCTATTGTTACATCTAAAAATTAACAATCTTTGATCTCCTTGATATTGTTGAATTTCAGATTTCACTGATTATTTTGAAAATGATTTTTGTGCAGTAGGTTTGTTGGAAATTGGATCTGGACAAGATCCACACATTGCACGTGGTTGTCACATCTTCTAAATCTTTCTTCATCCAGAGCAGTGCCCCCTTCACTTTTTTTAATGCCACTGCCTCGTTGAAGGTACTGAATCAGTTCTTCTGCACACAGTCCCACATTCTAAATTGATGTCATTTAACTTGCTCCTGTACCTACCTTCCTCACATATTTTTAGTAAACTGAAAAACTGCCCTATAATTTTGATTTCATTCAGATTCAGCCTTTTAGTGAGAGCATTTGGTTCTCACCAAGCGTGCTTCATAGAGCTTCCCATTATAAGGCACATGGCATTGCATTGTCGCCCTTTCAGTTATGCTGAGATTGATCGGCAGTTCAGGTGGTGACAGCCGGATCCCTGCAGCGCCATCCTCCATACCAGCCTTTTAATGGTTTCATCTATTGCTGAGCTTTGCCGGAACACTTTTTCGTTAAGGTTGCAAAATGGTGATTTTCTAATCCTATCGTATTTTTCCCATGTATTTGTTGGAATACTTCTAAAGCATAACTTCCCCCACTCACTAACTAGGGCTATTTGGTTACCCTGAAATACAATTATTATAGGAAAAGCAAGATAAATTCTTATATCTTTCTTTTTAGTCCTAATTTTCAGAGTACAAATTTGGTGCCCTGGTTACCTTTAATAGGAATCTTTTTTTTTTTCTTTTTGAGCACTATTACGAAATCTTAGGTTGATTGGTTGTTTTTAAATAATAATATGTTCAGTATATTTCAATAAACTGCCATCTTTTTATTTTATGTTCCAGTTATTCTATCTTTGGCCAGTAACAGCTCCATTAAATGGGCTCCAATGTCTTTTTTAAATTTTTTTTTTTTTTTTTTGAGATGGAGTTTCACTATTGTCATCCAGGCTGGAGTGCAATGGCACGATCTCAGCTCACTGCAACCTCTGCCTCCTGGATTCAAGCGATTCTCCTGCATCAGCCTCCCGAGTAGCTGAAATTACAGGCGCCGACCACCACGCCCCGCTAATTTTTTGTATTTTTAGTAGAGACGGGGTTTCACTATGTTGGCCACGCTGATCTTGAACTCCTGACCTCATGATCCGCCTGCCTCGGCCTCCCAAAGTGCTGGGATTACAGGCATGAGCCATCGCACCCAGCCCAATTTTTATGTTTTAAAGACTATTTTTTAGAGCAATTTTAGGTTCACAGCAAAATTGAGCAGAAAGTATAGAGATTGCCTATGTGCCTATGTGCCTCATGAGCTCAACATGCATGGCCTCCCCACAGTGTAGTGTGAACCTACACTGGCACGTCATTATCACCCGAAGTCCATAGTTTAGGGTTCACTCTTGGTGTTGTGCGTTCTGTGGATTTGGACAAATATATAAAGACAAATATATATATTACAATGGTAATTGTAGCATCATATGGAATAGTTTTACTGCTCTAAATAGCCTCCGTACTCTACCTGTTCATCCCTTACCACCGTGTCTGAAATAAGCCCACTTAGCCTTGGGTAGCTTCCTTGCCTTCTGACTCAACATGTCTCAAGTTCATCTTGTACTTTTCCTATCCCAATCCTGGAATCAGCCATTTTTTTAGTGAGGAACAATATTCAGAGATAGCTGAGACGTGTATATAAATGTGTGTGTATTTTTTAAAAGAGAATAAATCATCAGTTAATATAATATTTCTTATTCAAATTTAACATTACGGGATTTTTACTTTTTGGTTTTTGTACTTGATTCTTTTATCTGAGGCTGAAAATCTTGGTTGTTAAAACACTGGCGTAGTTCCTCGTTTGCTTTATCCTACGTTTTATTTAAATGGTTCCAAAATAATGAGCAATACTAAATAACAATAAGACTATTGAATGAGATTTTAGATTTCTTTGCAACTCTCTTTGTCCTTAGAATATATTCTACCAGTGATGGAGGTGAGACTTCCCCCTTGTCATAGTTCCCATTTTGGAATCCTGTAATATTTTTACATATTAAAAAATACATAAAATTTTTGCTCAGGCATGGTGGCTCACACCTGTAATCCCAGAACTTTGGGAGGCCAAGGTGGAAGGATCACTTGAGCCTAGGGTTTGAGACCAGCCTGGACAACAAAATGAGACACTGAAACATTGAAAATGTTGTGTTTTAAAGGCACTTGAAATCGTTCTAATTATGTGATTATGTCACCAATTTGATAGTTAGGTTCATTCATTTTACTTTATTTTCAATTTGGGGGATTTTAAAAAAATATATTTGAGATATATATGTATATATATGTTACATATATATATTCTTTTTTTCTTTTTTTTTTTAAAGACAGGGTCTCACTGTGTCACCCAAGCTGGAGTGTAGTGGCTTGAACATGGCTGACTGCAGCTTCGACTTCCTGGACTCAAGCAATCCTCCTGTCTCAGCCTCCCATGTAGCTGGAATCACAGGCATGTGCCACCATGCCCAGCTAATTATTTTAATTTTTGTAGAGGTGAGGTCTCACTTTGTTGCCCAGGCTGGTCTCAAATTCCTGGGCTCAAGTGATCCTCCCTTCTTGGCCTCCCAAAGTGGCTCCCATGAGCCACTGTGCCTGGTCACAAATTTTATGTACCTTTTAATATGTAAAAATATTACAAAATTCTAAAATAGGAGCTATGACAGGGGAGAAGTCTCATTCCCATCACTGTCCCCTCACCTTGCCACTTTTGTTAGATCTTAATCCCTCTAGTGCTTCCCTTTCTAAATATGAGTGCACACATGCAAATGCACACACATACATATATACACTTTTGTATTTCTCTCCGTTTCTCACACAAAGGTAGTATAGCTTATAAACTCTGATATGCCTTGGCTGCCCCCCCCACACACACTTGATAATATATCCTGGTGTTTGTGTATACAGATCTCCATTTTTCCCCCAGCTGCATAATATTCTGTTGTGTGGATGTAGCATAGTTAATTCAGTAAGTCTCCTGTTGATAGACGTTTGGGTTATTTTCAAACTTTAGCTATTAAAATAACATGGAGTGACTAGCCTTGGGCATGTGTCATTTTGTATTTTTGCCTGTGTATCTCTGGGTAGATCTTTAGAAATAGGGTTGCTAGGCTTTGTCAACCAGAGAAGCTTGTTAGAGACTCCATGCCTAGGGCTTTTACTGGTCATGTAGGCAGGTCTGCCTGGGACATTCCAAAATTCCAGATTCCCAGAAGGAAAGCAGGTATTCAGTGTAAGCCACAATGTTTGAACAGTTAAGGCACAGTGAACCACTCTTATCAGTTAATGGTGGGAACCTTCCCAAAATCCAGATTCCCAGACACTATGCCAACTTCATAAGCTGGCTTTCAGAGGATCACAGTCAGAGCTGCTGTGTTAACTCTTTTTGCACAGCACCATTTTGATTTATTCTTGAACTATCTATTAATAGCTCCATTCAAATTTTGCCCATTTTTCTATTAGGTTTGGGATCTTTTTCTTCTTGATTGCTCTTTTTATATTAGAGATTTGGGCCCTTTGTGACATAAATTGCAAATATTTTTTTCCAGTTTATCTTTTGGCTTTGCTCATAATATTTGTTGTGTTTTTGAGTCATAGCTTTTCCCACTCCAAGGTTACAAAGAAACTTTCCTATCTAAAGCTTATGTTTTCATTTTCTACATTTAGATCCCTAATTCATTTGGAATCTGTCCTGGTATACATTGTGAAATACAGATTCTATTTTCTTTTTCCAAATGGCTATCCAGTTTGTGCCAACATCATTTTTTTAAATTCATCTTTTCCTTATTCATTTGTAAAGCTACCTTCATCAGACATTTACTAAATTTCAATGTGCTTTTGGGTTTATTTCGCAACTTTGTATTCTGTTAGTCTGTTTATGCACCAATACCACACTTTTAATTAAAGAAACTTTATAACATTTTTTAATATCTGGTAGGGCTAACCTCCCTATCACATACCATATTGTTCTTATTTTCAGAGTATTCTTGGCTCTTTTTGCTTATTTATTTTTCCATATGAATACTTCTAGCTGTAGAAAACAACATGTGGTGATATTTTTAAAATATATAGATTTATGTTATTAATTTAGGAACAAGAAGTGACATTTTTAAGTCTTACTGTCCAATAATACAGTATGTCCTTCATTTGGTTAAGTTCACTTTTGTGTCATTCAGCACTGTCTTCAAGTTTTCCTCAGATGGGACTTGCGTATTTCTTGTTACATTTATGCCCTGTTTCTTCATTGTAAATTCCCCCATTTAATTTTGAGAAACAATCCTTAATGCTTACATGATAGATTTGATGTTGAAACCCGGCATGTGTTTATTGGTGACCACTCAGGCCAAGTAACAATCCTCAAACTGGAGCAAGAAAACTGCACCCTGGTCACAACATTCAGAGGACACACAGGTAGGAGTAACAGCAAAATCATCATGTGCTGATAGCACAGTGAGATATCGCCTGCTGCATCTCCTGATGTTCAGATATGTTTTGAAAGTGGCAAAGTACAGTCCATGCTTGTGCAAAGATACACATGATATGCTTAACTGATTTCAAAATGGTTCAGTAAAATATAACGTCAAACATTTTTCTGTATAATCCAAACAAAAGAGAAACCAATCTATTTTGAAAATGTTGATAATTTGGTTCTCTGTCATACTGCACCAGAGAAAGCCAGTGTTGGCATACATTAATGAGGCATTGTTTGGGAGCATGTGGCCTCAGACGGCTGAAACCCCAGAAGGCCGAAAAGACAGCTGCCTTGGTCTGACCTTGCCTTTCCTGGAGTTAGAAGATGGTGTACAAGAAAGATTCCCACTTCCAAGTCAAATGAAAAGACAGATATATTCTTCATGAGTAGCTAGACTTTGTGAAAAGGCTCAAGTTCCTCTCCAACTTTACTTCCTTCATATCCTTTTTAGGTTAAAACCTAAGGTCCCCTTTACGTTACTGCTCTGCTCAGGGTCATTTAAGCAAGGTAGTATAAAATATTCATGCTTAGCCTTTGAAAGACTTGATCAATGATGATGATTAATTTTTTACTAGTAGTTTTAACATGTACTTTTGACTCTAGAACATATCGACCCTAGAAAATGAGTCATTGCCAGTTTTCATGGTTCTTAAAGGGCCTTTCCGTTTTCTACCAGCTACCAACCCATGATTTTGTGTAAAATGAGATAATACTGAGTTTAGATGTCGATAAGAAAAAAAGTAGGGGAAAGAGGATATAAAATTGGATAATACCTAGATCATAAGGGGCTTCCTAAAGGGAAAAAATGGAATGCTAGAATAAGAAACATATAGTAAGGAGAAAATTGAATACAAGGAAGAAGATTCATAAAAGATCATCTGAATTATTTATGCCTTTGGGAGGAAGAACACATGGAAATATCCCCTATGGATAGGACCCTGGTCTTCCCTGACTGAATTTCTTTTTTAGCCACTTAAACCCTCACCTACACTTTGGCCAAGACTGGGCCTGGGGTTCTGTGGGGGACCCAGAACTGTCCCACCTCAGAAGTCTTAAACTTCTGTGCTTCACGCAGACTTCAGCCTCCTCATCCTCCAATTCCCTACACCCTTTCTTCATTCCACTTACTGTTTCCCCTTGTGGCGCATTCCAGCCTGTGGTCCCTCCATTTTTCCAGCATCTCAGCCCCTGCATCACCTTTCCTCCCAGTGGTGCATCGCTTCACCCATGCCTTCCCAGCATTCTCAGTTCTGTGAATGTAAATATTCTGCCTTCTTGGCAAGCCTGTCTGATTCAGACTAACTCTCCACCTTTTCTTGTTGTGCAGCCAGCTGCTGGGTCTATAGTAGTCACACTGCCTTGAGGTTTAGACCATCATTACCATTGCACACTCAGGATTTCCTGTGTAGACTTATGAAGTTGTCTAATAATCACTCTCCCTGTCCTCAGTTCGCTCCTTCTTCCAGGCCCCTAAACAGAGACCTTCACCATCCTTCCCAAGCCCCCATCCCCATCTCATTCCTTGCCTCTTCCTTCAAAAGCTATCAGATAGAAGCTTAAAAAGAAAAAAAAAATATTTCTTGCCCACTGTATATCCCCCCCACCCCAACAAACAAACTTTTTCTCTCCCCACTTCTCCTCTTCTCAGTGCAGGAGAGCTGCCTTCCTCTGGCCCATTCTCGTCTTCTCAGTGCAGGAGAGCTGCCTTCCTCTGGCCCATTCTCGTCTTCTCAGTGCAGGAGAGCTGCCTTCCTCTGGCCCATTCTCGTCTTCTCAGTGCAGGAGAGCTGCCTTCCTCTGGCCCATTCTCGTCTTCTCAGTGCAGGAGAGCTGCCTTCCTCTGGCCCATTCTCGTCTTCTCAGTGCAGGAGAGCTGCCTTCCTCTGGCCCATTCTCGTCTTCTCAGTGCAGGAGAGCTGCCTTCCTCTGGCCCATTCTCCTCTTCTCAGTGCAGGAGAGCTGCCTTCCTCTGGCCCCAGGCTATTCGCAGGGTGTCCCTACCAAAATGGATTGCCTTGGTCTCTCTTTTGACTAACTCTTTTCAATTTATTAACATGCTTATGTTTTTTGCCTCTGGTAGAAAAACAAACCAACACCCTCTCAATCCCGTGTCTTATAGCAAGTTCCTTCTTATTCTCTTAATAGCAATGCTTTAAAAATTGTGGTAAAATGTATAAAACATAAAATTTACCATTTTAACCATTTTTAAATGTACTATTCAATGACATTAACTACATTCACACTGTTGTGCAATCATCAACGCCATCCATCCCAGAACCTTTTCCATCTTGTGAAACTGAAACTCTGTTCCCTTGGACATGAACTCCCTATCCTCTCCCCCTACCCTCCCAGTCCCTGGAAACTGTTACTCTGCTTTCTGTTTCTATGAATTTCACTAGTCTAGGTGACTCATAAGAGTGGAATCATGCAGTATTTGTCCTTTTGTGACTGGTTTATTTCACTCAGCATAATGTCCTCAAGGTTCATCCAAGTTGTAGCAAACAGCCGTGTTTCTTAGAAGAATATAATTTTCCCAGCTGCTTCGCATTTTCACTTCCAATTTGCCTTCCAGCTCCCTGCAATCTGGTTTGTCGTTACTATGCCACTGAAACTGCTGTCCCTGAGGTGACCAGTGGCCTGCTGGGACACGTTGTAAACCTTGTCGTACTTAACTTTTCAGCAGCATTTTACATTGTGGCCATTCCTTCTGGCTGTAACTGCCTTCCTTTGGCTTTTCTTCTATGATGCTGCTGGCTTTCTCGGGCTCCCCTGTGGTCGGTTGTGTCCCCAGGATCTTCCCTGGATCCTCTTCTCTTTATGCTCTGTGCTGTCCCTTGTCATCTCAGCCATTCCTCCCAGTCACAGAGTAAAATTGTCATTATCCTCAAATTCTTCACAACCCAGTGAGAGACAAAAACTAAAGCACAGTTCTAGTGCATGCTGGCAGGGGCTGGTGGGAGCAAGCACCTTGCGCTTCTGGGAACACAGAAGGGCAGCCCACTCGAAGGAGATGGAGGCGGTTAGGAACGGCCTCCTCGGGAGTCTGCCTGACCTCAGATCTTTGGGGATGAGTAAGTATTGAGTTCATGGAAAACAACTGAGAAGAGCATCTCAGGCAGAGAAAACCAGCGTGTTCAAGGCAAGGAGATGTGCAAGAGCATGGCTCTCTTGAGAACTGCTAGTCACTCTTTTATGGTGGAAGCACTGGGTATGAGGGAGGGAGAGGGGAGGTCAGGGTGGAGGGGCAGCCAGAAAGCAAGAGTCACTTCCCATCACTGAGACCGTGCTGGGCATTATCCTGATGTCACTGAGAGACCATTAAAGAGTTTGAAGCAAAGAAGGTAACCTGATTGGATTTTAAAAGGTTGTCTGGCAGTAGAGAGTGGAATTGGAAAGCTAGTAGGGAAGTGTCCCTTGAGAGGGGACTGTGACAGTGGGAAAACAAGGAGTGGGTGGATTCAAGGTAGAATTCAGAGGTGCATTCCGCAGGCCTAGTGATGGACCTGATGGTTCCCAGGTTCGCTTTAGGCAGAGGTGGCTTTCAGCCTGACCTCTTGACTCTTCAGTAATCAGGCACGCACCCACTCACAGTATGGTGGCTGATAGGAGCCCTCTGAGTTTTGTATTGTTGCCTCCAGGTCAGAAAAGGACAGTAGCAGCTTCTAAGCACTCTTGTCAGCCACATGTGGTTCAAGGGTCCCATGTTTTGCAGGCTTGTTCTGATATGAAATATGACCTTGGTATTGTGTCTTATCTTTCCTAAAGAGTTTAAAGCATTTTCACTTTATTTTTATCAAGAAATATATTTGAGAAAAACAGGAAATGGCTCAGGAAGGTCACTAACTAACAGGAAGGCAAATGTAGCAGGTCAGATGTTACCTTATTATTGTTCCTAAACAGTGGTATCTGCCCATCACTAATGTGGCTGGAATACAGCTCATTCCTGTAAAGCTAGAGTGAGGACCTGTAAGAGAGTCCATGGTGATTTAGACATATTGTTGAGCTCTTCCTAAGTGGTAGGCTCATTCTGGGCCCTGGGAGGTCCCAAACACAGCAAGTCTCAGTTCTGGGAAAGAGATTTTTGTAAGGACAAAATGAACACCCTAAAGTTAATCCAGTTCCATTAAAGGGCAGCTTTGGAGGTCCCATCACTCCAGATGCAAACTCAGAAGCAGGTCTTCAGTATGCGTCCAGAGTCATAGCCCTTCACCCCATCATTCTCTCTTACAGTACAGAAGGTCATACAAAAATGTGGGTTAATGAGGGAATCGACCTAGTAGTCATGCCCAGAGGCCAAAGCATAACATTTTTCTAATCTCTAGGGATTTAGGAAACTAGTTTTATGTTCTTATGCTCCCTCTACTGGTTTTCTTTCTGGAGCTAAATGCCAAATATCACAGTTCTTTGCTATTTCTGCAGAAAGTAGAATGTATTTCTATGAAAAAGTCAAAAACTAACTTAGAGGAGTTGCTTTTGTTTTTCTTGTTTTGTTTTGTTTTGAGACAGAATTTCGCTCTGTTGTCCAAGCTGGAGTGCAGTGGCATGATCTTGGCTCACTGCAACCTCCACCTCCCAGGTTCAAGCAATTCTCCTGCCTCAGCCTCCCGAGTAGCTGGGACTACAGGTGCCCGCCATCATGGCCGGCTAATTTTTGTATTTTTAGTAGAGGCAGGGTTTTACCATGTTGACCAGGCTGGTCTTAAACTCCTGACCTCAAATGATCCACCCTCCTCAGCCTCCCAGAGTATTGGGATTACAGGCATGAGCCACCGTACCCGGCCAAAAATCATATTTTGACCATTGGAAATTAATAGTGTTAATACAATCTTTTTTCTTTTATTTCTAAGAAATTATTTTATTAGCATGAACATATTTGAAACAGGAGGGCTTGAATGTAAATCTGCCAAAGCAAACTAATTAATGAATAATTAAATGCAGA